TCTCTCGAAAGGAAAATTACACGAATGAAAGAACATCCTGAATATTTCGGAGAACGTGAATTTATTGTACGATACGAACTTCTTTAAAGATTGATGATATTTGTTGTATTCGATTGACCCACGTGATGAATCTATGTACGATGTGTTATATTGTTATGTGTGAAGTGGCGAATTCAAGACGATTATTACTTAATTGGCAAGTTTGCAAAATTCTGGGAAATTAGGAATGTAATAAAAGAAATAGAACTTTGGTAGTATCGAAATATTATTGTGGATAATCTGGCAATTTTGCTGTAAATACTCTACAATTTCTTGTAAATGTGCGAATGTTTCGCAGTTTCGAAAGAGCTACTTAATAATTCAATTAAATAAATGGTACATGTTTCATTATTTTTTACAAGCGTTTATATAAATTTTGTCACTCATTTCTGTATTTACATAATGGATACATAATTCCTCGATAATATTTAATGTACTCAACGTACATTAAAGCTAATGTAAGTAGAAATATCGATTCAGATTTGGTAATCTTAGTCTATCTTTTATCAACGATGATAGTTCATGAAGTAAGGTCATCTCCAAATCTTCATTTTCTTACCACTCGTGTTAATACACTTGTTTTCAATATTATTTATTTTACATTCGATAGTATTCACAAGCACCCAGCAGTTATGCTTCTCATGAACAAATAGACAATTACAAGGATAGCGGAACACACGTGTAAGAAATGTAATCTATACGCGACTTATCGAGATTCTGTCGAATATAAATTTTGAACGATAATCGAAATTCGATTGTTTATTACGCTATAATTTTTTTTTTAAGTAATCGAAGTCTTGCAAACAAAATTACCTTCTATTTTATTATAATCTTCTAAATATTTTGCTGCAATCTTAAATAAAAGTGATATTTGATATTTTTATCAAACTGACATGCAAGTTGAGTGCAAGAAAAATAATGAATCTGATATTTTCAAATGAAATTCAGAAATTCAATAAATTAAATAAAATTTAGAAATAAGTTAAATGTAATTCAGAAATCAATTGTAAGAGTAAAATTATTAACTTATTGTTTAAGAAGTGCGAAGACATTTAACTTTTATTAAAAATTTATGTTATGTGTCATTTGTGTTCAGAATTGTTATTTACTGAATTGGATAATCTTTCAAATTTTCAATGATTCATTGAAAATAATACGGAATTATATTATCAATAATATTATCAATATGTCAATTCGAGAAATCAAATTTCGGAATACTTAGAAATAACGGAAGTAACACTGTAAAGAGACTTAAGATAACAGTAATATCGATAAGAAGACGTATGAAAATTTCG